CCTGGAACTCAGATATGGCACAAAGAACCTCAGGTTACTCAGATGGGTGGCACCAAGACATGAAGTGTTACTCTCAGAGCTTTAGGCTGTACATCTGATATACCCCCAAGAAAGAGATCACTCTGGATCTAAATCCTGAATACAGGCTCAGCATCCTGGCCTAGGTCCCAAAGGGATGGGAGTCCAAGCAGAAACCAAAGAAGGGAGTAACAGTCCCCTCTTCAGAGGAACCAAGCAATGCCCCCATGACTACTTACATCTAAGAGCAGAGGAAGCCGTGTTACCCTCTGCATAGGGAGAATGAGAAATGAGATCACTGGCAGGCCTCCACACTCTGGTTTCCTTTCAATTTGTTTCAGGGTCTCTTTAAATAAGGGGTTTGTGGTTCTGGAACAGGACAAGAAAGCTCCATTAACTCTGTTCTTCCATAATCGAGATTTTCCAGCAGCTCTCCACGCACAGGAAATGCAGAGTGGTGATGGCACTGCCTCTGGTGCTCGTTGTCACTCCGCTGGCCTCAGAGCACCCAGCTGGGTGGAAGAGGGACCAACCCCTCAGTGGGTGGTGGAAAAGCACCCAAATATAAATGGTGAGTCCAGCAAAAGGTGGTAAAGCCACAGATGTACCAACAGTGGGCTCAAACCTGACCTGCACCACCAGCACGATCTGAACAGTCTCCACGTGTGTCCCTAATGCACCACACAGGAGTTACTGACCTTTTTGCAATCCCTGAAGCCCAGAGCCCCTCAGAGGCAATTCTTGGCCAGCCCAAGCCCTGTACTCACAGCAGCTTATCCAGTGTCCTCTGCTGATAGACTTCATTGGAGCAGTAACTGATGTAGGGATTGAAGTGGTTTGAGGCGTGTTCTTCCACTATGTCACTGATGTCAGGGATCAGGAGGTTTTCCTGGTGGCGCTTCTCTAAGTCCTCAAAGAAGCTGGGGAGAGGATTTAAACAACCTCACTACATGACCCCTCAGGGCCAGACAAACAGGGTGTTCCCCCTGCAACTTTTGCCCAGTTTTCCCAGTGGAGATGGGGCCCCGATCCCTTCTGGCAGGTCAGCTCCAGCAGCTGAGACATCTTCCCCAGACACAGGCACTTCCTCTGTTCCTGCACAGGGTCCCTTCTCCACTTTAGCTCTCTGCAGGATTAATTTCTGCCCCACTGGGAAGCTGCAAGGCCTCAACGCCCCCGCAGCCATTCCAAGGGCTGCTGCATCCTCCTCCTGCTGCTTTCCCACACGGACACGGCTCGCCCAGCCCCTGCTCCCTAAGTGTTTGCTCCCCAGCTCCCAGATCTCAGCCCCCACCATGCCCCTTGCCTGGTGCTGACGGTCAGGATGTCACTGATGTTGGAGAAGAGGTGGTGATGCTCCGTCTGCGTCATCGTCTCCCTCAGCTCCTCCGACTGCATGAAGTGGCCCACCAGGATGCTCAGGCTGTGCATGTAGGAGTACTCGGAAGTGATGATCTCAAACATTGCCTGGAAAGAGCAGGGCAGGGAAGATGCAAGAGCACAAACTGACTGAGCAAAGCAGGGAATTAAAACCTGCTAAATCTTATTTACTTTCAGCTGGCACAAAGCCACTGGAAATGACTTGACTCCAACAGTTTGGTGCGTTCCTTTTATCACCTCATGCGTGGCCTGGCCAACACCAACAACCTCAGCATGTTTTACGATGATACTCAAGTCATTGATAAGCCACAGCTTATTACACCGACAAAATTACAACTAATAATAAAAATTAATGAAAAAATTAACAATGACTTCAGATGTTTTCCCTTCCAGTGGCTATTTCCCACCAGCATCTTCTGGAGCTGCCTGTTTCCCCACCAAGCCCTTCCAGCACTGCCCAGTCCCAGAGTAGCTGGAAGCAGCAGCAGCACCATGAACTGAGCTAAACTCGAGCTGAGCCCAGCCCTGCTCAGAGCTGAGCCCTGACACAGCCACGGTCCCACAGCCCGTGGTGTCTCCGCTGCACTGCTGGGCACAGCCCGGCTCCTCTCACCTCCTGCCTCTTGCGCTCCTCAGGACAGATCCTCTGCAGGATGCCTGCTTCCAGCACCTGCGGGACAGAGGCTGGGATGAGCAGGAATGACGGTCCTTGCACGCCCTCTAGTGCGGTCCGGGGCTCTGCCAGCCGTCCCATCACACAATCACCCTGTACACCATCACACACCATCACACAATCACCCTGCACACCATCACACAGCATCACACAGCATCACACAATCACCCTGCACACCATCACACAATCACCCTGCACACCATCACACACCATCACACACCATCACACACCATCACACACCCCCACACACCCCCACACACCATCACACAATCACCCTGCACACCATCACACACCATCACACACCATCACACACCCCATCACACAATCACCCTGCACACCATCACACACCATCACACACCACCACACACCACCAGCATTGCCCATCATCACCCACACAGAACCTGCATGTCCCAGCCAGGGCTGGACAGTCCAGAACATCCCGCTGCAAAGGCTAACGCTGTGGAACTATGCCCTCGCAGCTTTCAGAGCCTCTGGGCTGGGCTGCTGCCCCTACCTCTGGGAGCTGGCTCCAGGTCACCTGCGCTGGGCGGTAGCTCTGCACCACGATAGCAGCACCCAGCGGGGATGGCTCCTCTGGGATGGATTCCTCCCGCAGATCCTCGTCTGACTCATGGCTGACAGAGTTCAGCCCTCTCTCACGGATCTCCTGATAGAGCCGGGGCTCTGCAGAGGAAAAGGCACGAGGTCAGCGCAGCCTCTCCCAGCCACGGCCCACGGCTTCCCTTCCCACCAGGGCCGCCTCGCCCCGCCAGCCACGAGCCCGGGCTGGCACCTCCCTGCCGAGGTTGGACTTTGCACAGCACCGATTACCCAGCAGCTCCCACTCCCAACAGCCTCCTGCAGCCAGGGCACTGCACACAGCTCTCCCATTTTCCCTGGGACCGAGCTGGGAGCAGTCCAGCTGCAAGCACGGCAGCAGCCCAAGTGTCATTCGCCCCGGGAGTGGGAAAGCAGGGCGGCAACGCTCCACAAAAGCCATGGCCCCCAGCCAGGGACAAGCAGCAGCACACATGGGAAAGGGCCTTGCAGGGATTTGCTTTGCTGAGCAGGGCCCAGTGCCCCACGAGCAGAGGGGACCCGCAGGCAGCACTCACGGTCCTTGAACGAGCCGCCGCGCTTCTGCACCCGCTTCCGCCCAAGGGTTCTCTGCAAGGGGAACAGGAGAACATGCTGTGGTTACTGCACTTGTGTGCCTGGGAAAACTCCTTCAGGAATGGGGGGAGCTACCTGTGCCAGTCAGCCCACACCACCCTGTTCTTTCAGCCTGGCTTTTGTCTGAGCTCTGTTTGCCTTCCCCAGGTGACTCAGCTTTCACCTCGCGTTATCAGGGTCACACTCTGTAGTTACACCGCTGCCTGTCACATCTCCCTCGCACCTGGACTTTGCCTTCTCTGGAGTCTCCCTTTCCCCAGATCTGTTTCACCCACGTTTGTGTACAACTAGAGCTGCTCACATGAGCCCCACCCTGCAAACATCCCGCAGCCGCCTGCCAAGCGGCCCCAGAGCAGCCACTCCACTCCCCATGAGAGCCATGTCAGCTACTCCCAGGCTCTCCAGGGACCTGCAGCATCTGCGGGTGACACGGAGCTTCCCAGGGCACCAGTCGTGTCACCAGGCTCACCAAGGCCTGCCAGCTCCACAACTGACCAGAGCTGTGGGAGAAAGACCCAGAAGATCCCCTGGCAGCACCAGGGAAGCAGGACCCCATCCCTGCCCGACGGCAATGGGGTGACAGCAGGCGCCAAACCCACCTTGTTCCTGCCGGGGCTGTGGTCGGGCAGGGCACTGCCCTCCTCTGACAGGGGCTTCAGCGAGGGCACGGCCTTCGCCGGCTCCGGCTCCGCGCCCAGGCCCTTCATGGCTGCGCGGTACGACATGTTCCTCAGGTTGCGCTTGAGGGCCCCTCCGCCATCCTCCTCATCCTCCGCCTCCAGGGACACGATGGGGACGACTGCCCGCTTCGGGTCGGGGCTCAGGGGCTCCCGGCTCACCCCCGATGCCGCAAAGCTCTGGTGCCGGGAGGGGCTGTTCTTGGGCTTGGAGGAGACGGCCAAGCTTTTGGGGATGAGCTGCTGGGTGCCCACCTTCAGCGCGGCCGGGCTCTCCGTGCTGAGGATGATGCGGCGGGGCTCGGTCGAGGGGGGAGAGCCCAGTGCTGAGAGCGGGGCAGCATCAGGTGCCCTGGAGGAGCTGTGCTTCCCGGGGGGAGCGGCCAGGCTGGGGGGCTCCGGCCGCACGGGGTGGCATCGGTACTCCAGGAGTAAGGTCTTGTCATCCACAGAGCTGCCAGGGGGGCTCCGAGACATGGCGGTGGCCCAGGGAACCAGAGAGCTGAGGAAGACAGACAGACAGACAGACAGACAGACAGCTGAACACCTGTCATACGGCAGTGGGAATTTACGCTGAGCCACAGGGAACCTCAGGACAGCACAGGACTCAGCCTGCGCCTTCCCTGGGCGCTCTGCAGGCAGAGCCTGTGTGCACACTCATGGTGCTCTCACTGCCCGTGCACCTCTCAGGGCCACCCATGTGCCAGGGCCAGGCTGGCGGCTCCTGCAGACGGCTCAGGATGTGGCTGGGCTCTGGGAGCAGCCAGGCCGTGCCGCAGGCACCGGGCAGGCTCAGACCTGAGCGAGCAGCCAGGCAGGCCTGGAGCACCACTGCTGCCACACCTCTGTGTCCCCTTAATCCCCTTTGGGGACTGGGGGTGCTGCCAGTCACCATGGCCAGCCCTCACCTTCCTGAATTCCACCTCCCCCAGGCTGACGTGCTGTGAAATCCCCGGCGGCGCCTCCCTGTGACCCCTGGGCTCCTCCAAGCTTGTACCTGCCCCACGCTGCTCCGAGGAGCGGCTCCACACCGCCCACAAAAACACCTGCCCGAAGCTCCTCGGCCGGGGCCAAGCTTAATCATCCTCTCCTGTGCCACCCCACGCACTGTGCACCTCTGGGACCGTGCACCTATGGAACTGTGCACCAGTGGAACACGCAGAGCCTTTTACGCCCACCCTGTTACATAATCCCAGGAGACACGATGGTTTAATTGCCCTCAGCTGACCCCATTGTGTGCCATCTCCGAGCTGTTCCTTTTCAAAGGCCACAGACCAGGAAACAAACCAAGACTGGACCGTGCATTTCCCCGCATCAATGACTGGCACAAGGACAACACAGACCCATTAACAACAGCCCATTTGATGGAGATGCTGCTCATTCCACCCGTCCTCGGATGCAGGACACAGGCCTCTTGGCCAGAGGTCTGCCAAGTGTCCCGGGATGAGGAAAGCGCCACATTCCGCCCTTAACCCCATCCTGGCTGAGGATGAAGCTTACAAACAGGCCCAGTTCCAGAGGCTCTGGATGCTGCAGCATCCAAAGCCCTCGGTGCCGGGTGGAGGGTTGGTGCCCCCCCCCCCATGTCACAGCCCAGGGTGGCACACGGGCACAGCCTGCCCAGGCTGCAGCCCCGTCACTCGGTGCCTCCATCCCCGCGTGCCCCAGCGTGGGCTGGGAGCACGGCCGGACACAGCCCCGGGATGCGCCCAGCCCCTCCCCGGCCCCGCAGGACTCCGAGAGCCGCGGGGAGGGCCCCGCAGCCCGGACGGGGCAGGCGGGCAGCGCCGGTGCCGGTCCCGCCGCCGCGGCCCCGGAAGGCGCCCGGGAGCCTCTCCCCGGGGCCACCCCCGCCCGGCCCCCGGGAGCCCCGGGGACGGTCCTGACCCCTGTCCCGCTCCCTCCCCGCCGTCCCCGACCCCGCCGCAGCGCCCCGGCCCGACCCCCGCGGTCCCGCACCTACCCGCGCCCCTCGGAGCCAGCGCGGCGGCGGCGGGGCGGGACGGGACGGGGCGGGCCAGGGGAGGGACGGGGAGGGATCGGGGCGGGAGCGGGGAAGGGCTGGGGAGGGGCTAGGGAGGGAGCGGGCCGGCCCCCGGAGGTACCGGGGGTGGTGCTGGGGCCGCTCGGAGCCCGCAGCCGGTGTCCCGCACAGCCCGGCTCCGAGCAGCGCTCCGCGCCCTGTCCCGGGTCCGGCCCTGCTTCCCGGGAGTGAAAAAGCCATTGGCTTCGCTGTATCTCGCTGCCTCGTGACTAGTCTTAAGCAGGTGTTTGCACGGAGCGTCTCTCCCAGCCCCTGGACTCTCAGCATTCCCCATCCCCTAAGGCCGCCTCTCCAAGGTCCCTGAAGATGATGGGACTATTCGACGTTGTCCCCCCATCACGTTAACGGGTGACAAACGACTGTGACCCGGCTGTCCTCGGGGTCTGACCGACACACACTCGGTATTTCAGCAGCCTGGGGACTGTTCCTTACCAAAGGCACGTCTGATCTTCGCCTTAGCTGAGTTTTCATTGTTCAAAGGTAACGCCAGGCTGTCCCTCCAGATGCACAAAACATCGTATTCGGATGCTTTTGGATGCTGCAGCTCCTGGGAAAGAGGATCTGAAGGTCAGGCTGCTGACAGCTGCCCAGTAACCCAGCTGCCTAGTAAGGCCAGGCTCAACAGTGCTCTATGTCTGTACTGGGAACAGACTTTTCCTTGACCTTCTCTTTTGCCCCCCTGCTCTGTCCCCTCCACTCCCCAAATGGAGCCTTTTTCTCTCTTGTTTGTGGTGAATCTCAAGTACTTTCTGGATGACAAAGTCCACTTGTCAGCAATATTCCTTTAAAAGACTCTGTTCTCTCTGTTCCAAGGCCTGCCTGACAATCACTCTATTATCACAGCTTTCTTATCCCATAGATTTTTTATCCTTTCCCTCCGGGGCTAATAAGGAGAAAGGCTCCAGCCGTCACTGTGAGGAGAGGGCTCCCACTCAAGGGTTCAGCTCAGACTGAAACCCTCACAAACTCCAGGGAAGAGCCATTATGCCGTATGTGGGACACCATCATTTGATCACCATGAATGACTTTTTGAAGCAGAGGCCATTCATCAGTTGGGTAATGGTGTTGTTAGCTCAAAGACCCGGCTTTCAAGTCATTTCTGCTCCCAGGGCCCCCGCTGAACCATCTGACCGCTATCACTGGGTAGTTCACTGACTCTCTGCTCCAGTTGTGAAAGGAAATATTCTTGACATTTTCTGACAGCTCACTGATGCCTCGTCCCAGCTCAATCCCCCACCCTGGAATGCTCTTACTCCTCCCTGTGCAAGCTCCATCCCTTCGGTGGGCTGTGGCACAGCTCAGCAGCACTACCTGCACCTGCTTTGCACTGCTGAGACACCTCGAGGGCTGTGCCCAGTTCTGGGCTCCTCACTCTGGAGGTGTCCAAGGAAGGCCTGGCCATGGCACTCGGTGCCCTGGGCTGGGGGACAGGGTGGGCATCGGGCACAGAGGGGACTGGATGATCCTGGAGGTCTTTTCCAGCCTCAGTGATCCTGTGATCTGATCTCAGCAGCAAGTGTGGTGGTAGGGGAATTAATTTAATTTTTTGAAGCTTTTTCAGGTATTCCAAACCATGCACACACAATATCCCACCACACAGGCACCACAGAGCAGCAAGGCCAGTGACACGGCCCAACACCCCCTTACTGGGTGTGATGGGGCATCTCCACTGCTCTTCCACGAATAGAAGCTCATGGGACCACTGCTTATAAAAGCACACAGGTTTATTGCATATCAATCTCATGTATAAATTCATTGTAGCATTGGAAAGATTACATTTGGTATACATTCCTATTCTACAGCATTAACCTCAAAATCAGCTTTTTCTATTCATTATTTTAAAGGAATTTCTCTACACAAGTACATTTGTCTTTTATCACAAGCATCAAAATGAAATTTGTAAAATCGCCTTTTTTTTTTAATTATTTTCTACACTTCATATCTTTTATTTCATTATGCTCCCAACAAAGCGATTCCATATTAATTAATAACTGCCAACACTTTTTCTTTCTTCCTTGGCAGTTCGAGGCTTCGAGCCTCGGACGCAAAATCTAATCACATATACAATAAGTGCATCTACGGAATTTTTGTCTTTTTAATAAAAATTTCACAAACAGACACAATAATGACTGCTAAACACAAGTCATGCACAGTTTACTTATAAACATAACAGAAGCAATATACAATCAAGAATGATATGGAACAAGCACCATCCTCTTTCTCAATGTTTTTTAAACATTATATGAAAACCAGACATTTACAATTGATTTAAAAAAACACTATACAGGTCTAAAGGAAAAAAAAAAAATCCAACCTAAATCATATCTGTATTGTAACAATGGGAAAAGGAATGACATAGGATGCACAGATTTATGATTCTTGCAAGCACAATATATATATGTTTTAAATTACATCTTCTGCAGGCTGGAAATGACATCAGGGCAAAACATCTCTTGCTTTGAAGAGAGCAACGAGAATGTAAAATACACTGAGAATTACTTTCAGAATTACTTTGTTCACATGTGAATTGCACATTTGGAAATCAAAGCTGCCTTTTTTTTCTTTTTCGTTCTTTTTTTTTTTCTTT